GGGGGGGGGGGGGGAGGACAATTGTACAACTCAAGTCTTGATGAATATTGTACACAAAGCTTAGAGGGTATAATGTACTTCAAAGAAATGAACTCAATAGATAAAATACACACACCTTAATTTTAAATATAGTATCTCTGATGGGGCCGTGCACTTCATTATCATATGGCTCAAAGGTAATATAATGAAGATCATCAGTAGGTGCACGATCATAGATTTGTTCTTGGCTAGCTTTCACACACAACTTCACACTCTCACAGAATTCCTCTTGATTCTTCTCATACCTGACACATGTTCATAAAGGAATACTAATTAAACATCCAAACAAAGAGGAAAAGCACATGACATTTCTGATAAGTAAACAATTCAAATATACAGACTAATCCACTCACTTTATAAAGTTGAGTCCTCCTCGAGAACACAACAGTTAGTTAGTATAGGATTCTGCCGATGGTGTATAACACATAGAGATACCAGGTTTTCGGACTTTATCCATCATCCTCAGGTGAGGACGGAAACAGATCCAGTTTCCCGAACGTCGTATTTTTCTTAGTTATCTTAAAACCAGGACAATGGATAAAGTCTGAAAACCCAATATCTCTAAACACAACAGATGCTCAGCTACTCATGAAATTCTCAACATTTTACAGAACCAAACTGTTCACTACCATGTAGAATCAGAGGTTCTGACAGCAGTGGTTATGGGGAGTTCTGTCTTCTGGAATATAACGCCACACAGTCCGTTGAAAGTCAACCGATATTTTGGAGGAACATGTCACCTACATCTTCAGGTTCAAAGGTGGCAAGCCACCTGCTTCACCCGGTTTCTTGTTTGGATTATTTTTCAACCCTGAAGATGGAGGCGACATGTTCCTCTGAAACACTAGCTGACTTTCAACAGACTACACAGCGTTACATCCCAGAGGACAGAGCTTTTCAGTTCATTACCATGTTCACAAGAGCCTACTACATGTTCCTATCCTGAGCCAAGTAAATCCAGTATATATCTTCCCAACCTATTTTTCTAATGTTCATTTTAATATTATCTTCTCATCTATGCATAGGTCTTCCTACTGGTCTAATTCCTTCCTGTTTTCCTACCAGAACTTTATATGCACTTCTTGCCCACACATGTTCTATGCCTCACCTATCTCATCCTCATTGATAATATCATTTCATAATATTCAGTGAGTACAAATTATCAAGCTCCTCATTATGCAGTCTTCTCCAGCCTGCTTTTATTTTGTCACCTCAAATCCAAATATTCTCCCCAGTATCCCTTTATCAAACACCCTCAGTCTATTTTCTTTTTATTTTCAGGTTGGTTATTTAATTATGCTGTCAGAATTAAGCCTATATCAATGACAGAATGACTAATGAATGTGGAGCAGTTGCTGGGATAACTGGCAAATGAAACCAAAGTACTTGATCAGTGCCACTTTGTCCACCAAAAATCGCACAGGACCTAAACAGGGACTGAATCTAGGGTGCCAAAGTGAGGCCAGCAAATAACCACTTGAACTACGTCATGGTCACCTTAATGTGAGAGATCAGGTTTCACATCCACGTAAGGCAACAAGCAAAATTATAACTTTTATATATTTTAATCTTCATGCTTTTAGATACAAGCCAAGATGACAAAAATTCTAAACTGACTTATTACAAGCAATCCCTGAATTTAATCGTATCTTACTTTCTTCATGAATGCAATTCTGATTTGTCAGTGTTATTCCCAAATATTTGAACTTTGCCATGTTTTCAAATGACTAATAGATATCTTTTATGTTATGGTTTTTTCTTCCATTCTTGTTATGAGATAGCAACATACTATGTACATCTAGTTTTTATTTGTGCTTACTTATGGAACAACCTCCTTATTAGTATTAGAGTTTCTGTGTTTTTCTTTATGGAATTTATGTTATCCTCCCCATAAATTAATGTATCCATACAGACCAGAAGCTGATGTGTCCCATTAAACTTCGGTCTATCTTGGTTTCCTTGGTCCTTTGTAACAAAGTAGTCTTAAGGTTGCAAACAGAGCAAACAGGCTTCAGATATGGAGGGTAGATATGAATACATTAAATAAGCAACTATGAACAGCCAAAAAGAGATGGCCCTCCAGCTTCAGAATTGGCAACAGGGCCAACAACTCACCATAAAAAGAAACATGTCAGAAAATGTTAATATACACAAAAGACAGTTAAACAGTAATCCATTGACAGCTCAAGAATTACTTGTTGGACTACATCAGCTATTAAATATTCAACTGTGGGTGGATATACAGGTGATGAAACTATGAGGTGCTTTTGAAAACATTTTACAAAATGCAACTGAACAAATCTGAAGGAAGAAAATCAGTGAAACACTGTGTGCACATCCAGTCTTTAAACATTCTCCACGTAACTTACAATTCTGATGCTTTCTGGTTAAATGGTGATTTTGTTTCTATTTTATAGAAAGCCCTGCGGACATACTGAACCACTTGCCAGATGTGGTTAACATTCTTACGCCATTCTTCAAAACCACTCCTTACATCCATTTCCCCTGTACTAGGATTTATCATGGGATGAAATACCATGGACTGAAACACAACTCTCTGAAACAAATATCTGTGTAAGGTTATCATGATCTACACATATTTAATAAAAGTAATTTTACCAATTTTGTATGATGGAGCACTGGTTTTCATAATCAGAAAATTTCAATTTAACTGAAAACCAAAATCAAATTTTACAAAAACTTCAGCATATCAGAAAAATTGATAATGCTTGATGAAATAAACAGTTCCCATCTTGCACATTTATTTGGCATAATGCCTTATTTTTGGCCAAATATTAACATATAAAAACAAAAAATGATGGACTTTTCAGATCTCTTGAATGACAACAGTAATCACACTTAGGAACGTTGTCAAGTTTCTCAGGCTTACTCAATGTAAAAGTAAGTTAACAGTTCCAGATTTCATTCGATGCTCACGTATGAAGCCAGGTCATTAGCAACTTGGACAAATTCTGGTGATGGGATAATTTCTTATATACATACTACAGGAAATGTCTGATATCTGGCATGTATGGGGAATGGGACATGCCAGTTATCTGAATCTGTCAGTTGCACAAAACTTACAGAAACACAATTATGAAACAAAATTTTTACCTTTTCCTTGTTCTTTATGTACTTCCATTTTCTGTTTCAAAGTCAAAACATGTTTTTGCTTTAGTTCTTTCATGGGAGTCTTCTCAGGCAACATGGGTAGAGGGTTCTGGATATACAGTAACAAGATCACAAATTCAAGTAGCATTCAACTAGCCTCTATAGTATTGGCACCTGTGTAATGATGATGGACAGCACTGCTTGTGGTGTGGTGAGTAAACACATGCTCATCTATACTTTGTTTTTGAAGTAACTCTATAAAAATGAAAAACTTTCTTTTAATGTTTGCCAGTTGCATGAAATCGTGGATAACCAGGAAATTATTGTACTCCTCTGCTTCCTTCTTTTTCTTTTATTTAATTATTTCTTTATTGATTTCTTGGAAATGTTTTGAGATTTATAATTGTTCTTATTTATTTTTATGGAGAGGAATCTATTTCTGGATGTCAAAATTATGATTAGATTGTTTTAAATTACGATTTTTCTCTTTCATTCTAACTGCTGTGTTAAAAAGTATGAATGTCTTGCAATATTGTGAGAAGTCATTTTGATAATGCTTGAACAGCATAGTCCATTTTGACCAATTAAACATAATAGTCTGGATAATCTGGTTTCTATTGTAATTGTAGAATAACTTGAAAAGTACTATCTTCTGGGATATAATGCTGTACTCGTACAGTTCACTGCAAACCAACCGATCGTTTGGAGGAACATATCGCTTCCATCTTCAGGGTCAAAGAATAAGCTGAACAAGATATCAGCATGAAAGCAGATGGCCAGCAGAGGTAAAGTAAATAACTTGTTCACTTGTTGTAATGAAATCTGATATATTTAGAATGATTATTGGTAGGAATAATTCTCTTATTTCTTGCAGGGCCTATAGTAGGCTTGGCAGTAAGAAAATTAACCACATGCTTATTTATGAACAAGCAATAAATCTCTTGCCTTCTTCATTTCATCCGTCACCTTATTAAGACTTTAGTAACAGAATACAAACAACAGAAATTTATTATGAACTCACTGGACATCCACCATCTGGGAATGCTTCTGGTATGTGTATGCAGAAGCGGAATACTCCTCCTTCGTACACTCCTTGTCTGACAAAGAATACCCCAAACCATACTGCAAAGGAAATGTATACAGGATACACCACTAAACAGCAGTGTAGAATGCAAGAGTCAGGACACATAACTTTACTGCTGGTCACAGAATCATATTCTTACATACTACATTAATTGGCTTAAGTATGCTGCATTGCACAACTACTGAAGAAAAAGGCTTCTGGGATGTGGTGCCATGTAGATATTGTGTTAACCGACATTTCGGAGGAACGTATCGCCTCCATCTTCAGGGTAGAAAAAGAAAAAAAAAATCCGCAAGCGAAGAACCAGCATCTTGACTTTAGTCTAGTAGCACCTGCTCACACTGGTTCTTCACTTGCAGATTTTCTTACTTTCTTTTTTTTCTATCTTGAAGATGGAGATGTTCCTCCGAAACATCAGTTAACATACTATCTACACGGCGCCACATCCCAGAAGACTGCTTTCTTCATAGTCCCCGCCGTGAAAACCTCAAATCTTACATTGCACAACTACTGTTTCCTGATTAAGCTAATTAACACTCTCTATTATTCAAATATAATGGAGGCTGATTTCTTGCAAAATGACTACTCAAAAAGTGTGCCATATATGTATGACAAACTATTTAATTTAACCCAACCAAAAGCAATTTACAGATCTGTGAAACAACTAAAAACAAAAGGTTGTCTGAAATAAAGAAAAAATGCATGACCTACTGTATGTTTATGTGTCTTAGCACCATGCAGTGCCACAGCAGTAAATATGAGAAAAATTGGTAATGTCACATCCTTTAATTTTTAGACTAGATTTAACTATCTTTAACAAGACCAGTGATATCTACCAATCCCAGAAGAGTGAATCTGATTACACAAATGTACTTACAAAGCGAACTTTTTGCTGAAGGAATTACATATATTCCTGGAAGCTCTTGCTTTTGCAACATATTACTGAAAAAATAAAAGTACAAAGTTCACTCCTCTAAACAAAAATAACAATTTTATAATATGATTTCATTTTGTGCCTTTATAGGGCACACCTTCTTCATGTAATCTTCTGTCCAACATACAATAGTTTTCATAGTGTTCAAATGATTCATTACAAACCAATGTGAATTACATATAGGTTACATTTATTTTGGGAAAATATTCTTTTGAAAGTATTTCTATTTTTTGAGCCTTTCTATTCTCATTTATAGCAAGACAGAAAATGTTATTAACTGTAACAAACATTCTGACAGAGTTTAATTACAATAAACAATATTACTAATTACACACTACATCAACAAATGTATCAAGTAAGTCCACAGAGCAGAAGCTAGTAGTTGTTCAGCTAGTCAAGAAATTCCTGACATTTTACTGAACTCCAAGGTTCACAAAAGCCTTCTATTGGATCCTACACTGAGCCAAACAAAATCTTTCCCCAACATGACACCATACTTCTTTAAGGTCATTTTAATACATGGGAGAGTCAATAAATACATCATAAATGGAAGTAAAACAGCTGAATTGGATGTAGTAGGTTTTCTACGTATATCACTAGGTAGCAGCACAGTTCAGCTCCGTGACAGTCTAGGTAGTATATGTGCATGCATATGTTCAGAGGCTGGTTTCAGTAGCCAAAATGGTGACTGTGCTTGAGGAGTGTACTACCGAATAGCAGCATCCTGTTATGCATTTCTGAGCAAAAGGACTCATACAGAAATGTTTCCTGTTCACAGTGCGAAGTGTTCGACATATAAAGCAATTCACAACTGTGTTGATATATTCTCTCAAGGACATTCAAAAGTCGCAGATGATGCCTGACCAGGTCACCCTGTTGAGATTGCAACAAAAGCAATTGGCCATGGGTGGAAGAGTTGGTTCAAGCTGACAGGAGGATAACGATAAACAGTGCAGTAAATGCACTAAGGTGTTCCAATGGTTTAGCATACAGCATCATGCATGATCACTTGAAGTTTTGGGAAGTGTGTGTATTGTGGGTGCCCAGAGAACTTAAGGATTGAGATAAAATTAAATGAATGGACCTATCCTTGCAACATCTCTTATGGCATGCAGATGAAGAAGATATGCTCAACAGGATTGTTACTGGGGATGAATCATGGGTGCATCACTACCAACCTGAATCAAAGCGCGTTTCACTGCAATGGAAACATCCCAGTTCACCTTCAACCAAAATGTTTAAGGTTATGAGTATACCATCAGCTGGGAAGGTTATGCTTACCATGTTTCACGATTCTCAGGGAGTACTGTTAGCCCATTTTCTGAAGTGTGGTGAAAATGTGAATTTTGCATCATGCTATGTGAAGTCCTGTTGAAGCTTCAGGATGCAATTTGCAGAAAAACATCCAGGCAAACTGGCAGGAAGGGCACTGCTTCATCATGATGCCAGACCCCATACAGCCCAAGCAATCCAGGAGAGAATTCAAGAATTACAGTGAGAACTTCTTGAACATCCACTTTACAGCCCAGACTTGGCCCCTAGTGTTTTCCATCTGGTTGGTCTGCTACAAAACCACCCTGGTGGCAGATGTTTCACTGATGACGAAGAGGTTGAAATGGAGGTGCAAAAGTGGCTCAGACAACAATCAAAATACCTCTATTTTGCAGGTTTTCATGCACTGGTAAAGCAAGAGGACCAATGTATCAATGTTGGTGGAGGATATGTTGAGAAATAAACGTTTTTTCAGGTTCAATTATCATGTTTTACATTTTATATCCATCTGTGAGCTATTTACTGACTCTCCCTTGCATTACCACCCCATCCCTAGTGTTCAAACTGTATCTTTTGTTCACATTTTCTGATCAAAACATTGTAGACACTTCTCATCTTTCTCATGAATGCTGATTTGATCATCCTAATCTTCATCAATTTTCTTGGGCCTCCTGTTCCTTCCTTCCTTGGTTCCAAATATTCTCCTCAGCACCATGTCCTCAAACAACCTCAGTCAATATTCTTATCTTCAAATCAACACAAAAGTGCATGTAAAATAATATTTCTAATATTTAATCTTTACATTTTTTAAAGAGCACCTCTTCATGTTGTGGTGCTTAATTAATTAAGCCCAGGGACAACTTTACCTTAGGGGGGGAAGACAAAAAATCTGAACTGAGTGGTAACTTTCACCCGTGCTTAATTTCATTATAAATGCAATTTGAATTTGTTACTGCCATACTAAACATTTGAACTGCCCCATTTTCAAAGATTTATCGGCTATCTTAATGTTATATTTTATTCCGCACTTTACTGCTGAATCATATGCGGTTACAAAATGTCCCTTAACTCTGGAACCATTTCAAACAGCACCTTCAGAAGTGAAATGTGCAATTTGTGCACTGAAATCACACCATAAACAATCCACACCATTCTCCTGGCATAGTAAAAATGTTTGCGAGTTTGTATCAGCATAAATGGTGGATATACTGAGAATATTTTTAACAGCTGTGGCAGAACTCCAATATGGCCTATGGTTCCAGACTTACTGGCCACCCTATACTTATTTTTCTCTGTGTTTGCTTCTAGACCACTTTCCCTGCTAGTTGCTAATAGAGCTTTTGTATTTCTTATTATAGCATTGTCATGTGTAGGGGTGGGTGAGTGATTCATAAGCTGGAGTTTGGATTGGATGATTGGATTTATTGCACATTATACATTCACAACGTGGGACTACAAACAATACAGCGCTATCACTGATTTACACACTTTCCAGTTCACCGTTACATGTGCACTAGGGTTAGTCTTCACTAGTCGTCTCCTGGAAGAAGATTTATCACAGTCTCACTGTCACTTCAAATCACACATGGAGTCTTCTCCGCACCGCCCAATCCCTTTCTTGCCCTTATTCTGTGACTGCCAATTCCGAAGACTCGATTCAATTCAATTCCTCTGCTCCCACGCTCATATCCCAGCAGGCTGGCATCTTGAAGCTCAACCCTTCACTTCCTACTCAACTACTGTTCTGTCCTCTACTTGATCACATCTTCTGACTGTGTCCTTTCATAACCCCTTGACATGGACCATACAGAAAACACAACCTTTACTGTTAAGGAGGCATGTTTACTGGTCAATTACCTAGCAATGGATGTCCTCCTGTTGCATGTGTATGCTTCGCGGGAATGTGTTTACTGAGTTGTTGCCTAGCAATAGGTACACACATCACAGAATTTATGTTCCCACCTACTATAACATCATCAGCACAGACCTGAAGCTGAGATGTCCAATTCACTTCTAATGATACCTTATTTCTGTGAACTTCCTAATGGAATATTCTAAAGTAAGGTTAAAAGCAATGGGGAAGGGACAAAGCCTAACTTCAGATCATTCTGAATAAGAAATTTTTACACATATAACTTTACTGCAGATTCTCTTTAATCAATTTTATGGGTATCCTGACTGACTCAAATGCTTCCTTGGAGACTAAGCAGCAAATGCACTATTCCACTGTACTTCATTCTTTCTCCATTATCTTAAAAATACAAACTACATGATCAATAATTGATTTATTACAACAAAATTCATACTGATGATCCTAAACAATATGGTCTGTGTAATAAATTAACCTTAGAAAAAAACTGATTAAATTTTGCATACAATTGATAACAGTGATTCTCCTTGAGATGACTAAAGTCATTTTAGCATTTTTTTATAAACAGGTGTAATAACAGATTCCTTCCACTGGTACCAGCTGGTCAGCCTCTTGTAAAGCTGTATGACTGCCATACAGGTCTTTCTCCTTCCAGCAAACAATGCCAAAAATATGAGTCTCATTTCAACAATGAGACTGTGCTTGTACCTTCACTCATACATACATACTGTATGTATGAGCAGGGAAACAAGAACTGGACGCTGTGGAGGGGCCGACCCCCTCCAAAACGGAAAAAGGGTAATGACCTTTATGGGAGGAACCGGTAAAGTACCGGCCTCCCCAACAAGGGTGCATGAAGTGTGAAAGTGAAGAATGAATGTGAGGCACGACAACGAGACCAACAAATTCTCGGCTATGGAAGTGCTCGGGACGAGCACAACTGAAGAGAGGGGCGGATACGGTAAGAGGAACAGCGCAACAAGACTCGCGCAGGAGACCAAGGCTGAATGCAGACGTTGCCAGCAAACCACCGCGGGATCGAAACCGAGGGAGAACCTTTAGGCTGTTCGGGGACGAACAACCTTTAGAAGGGAGCAGTGTAACGTGTCGGAAAACCAGAGGAGTAACTTCTATGGAAACGCTACAATAGACCGTTACAGAGGAGACAACAATTGCTCCATTGTAATTCTAACAGGAGTCTCCATGGTTATAACGGAGGGTTCGTTGCCTAACAGCGGGCAAGGTTATAGATAGCCCAGCTTCAGCGACAAACAGTCAGTCTCGGAATAGCATTCGACGAAGTCAGTCGCGGAACAGCCTCCAAAGAAGAAACTTCGGAATATCCGTCTGAGTCCAGTATCACCGGAATATTGTAATCGGTTATTGTAAGCCTGCAAGTGCAGATGATTGTAAAGTGTGTGTAATGCGAGCGAAAGGAATAAATCCGCTATATTGGGACAACGGCGTGAACTTATTTGTAGCGTGACAACCAAATACGCTACAATACATTATAAATGAATATAGCAACCAAATTAAAAAAAATGTTGGGAAGAGAAAAATTAAGCATAGAAACTCACTACTCTGAAATTATGCAGTACTCCTGCTGATACAGACTATATGCCTTCTGATGTCCTCTATTTGATACTGCTGGTCGGTCTATCATCTTTGCTGACATACTAAGCTGTGGGTCAGCACTTGGAAGAGAAGGCAAAACTTTGCGAAATGAACCCTGGCGTCGAAATGGCTCCGTCACATCTACATTAAGATCATTCTGTAATAGTATACAACAAAACAGTGTATCACATCATAATAACTTCTTTCCAGCATGTGAATTTTCATCTAAATTATTACATTCATAATTACATTACATGACATGTACTAACACACTTGTCCCGGGGCATGCATTTTGTTTATGCTTATTAGGCCCACTGCACGCTTAATATAGTGTGCAGTGAACTACTCTGACCTAACCTGTCATTAAATTCAGATCTGTTAGGCCAGACATAAAAGTTCAATCATACAAAGCAACATGTTCATGGCTGGATAGATTGACTATTCATAAGCCAAAACAGTGTGTGAATAGGGGATATTACTGTTACTGTTATAGTAAAGATGTACACATTTTTGCCTCCTAATAATACTGTAACTCATGAGGACTATGAATTTAAAATTGTTACCATTATTTGAATTCACTTTCAATTTATCTCTACTCACTTGCAAAATAATATAAAAGGAATTATGCACATCTTACACTGTCAAAATGATGAACACATATGAGCAAATTTTATCATCTTCCAAGAACCTGGAATATGACCTTCCCACTTTTGAGAGGTAAAGTGACTATCCCACTACTAAATGTCCTTTTCCTCATCACTAAGCCAGCATACCATTAAATACAGAATGGAGGAAGGAAAAAAGTAGTACATTCAACACAAACTATTCAGTTGCTAAATGAAATCTAAAATGAAAGATGCTACTAGCTGGAAAAGTGTCTTTTCCCGTTGCAGTAAAACTATATAACACTAGTGGAAATCTGCAGACCAGCATAAATTAAGGACACAATCACTCCTGAGTTATCTAACACATGCAAATATTTGCTATATTAAAAAATCAGATATACTAAATGTATGATTCAATATTATTCCCTCTAAGGCCAATTTAAGAAATACCATCTGACAGCAAAATTCATTTCACCTCAATATGCTGTTCCGGTTTACAGTGACAATAAATAATGGTGCATTGTTCTAAACAGTAACATTTCTAACACAGATTATGGTCTTCTAGTTATGTAACATTACGCATTATATTTCTTAGTTCCTTGAATGACTGCAATTTCTAGCATTTTCACTGCAAAAGTATTTATAAGTTCATCATCTTCATTCGTATGTTTTGCATCCTGTTGTGCGTGTCTCTACTATGTAAATTTGTCTGTCAATCACAGCAATTCTACACTTCCAGTAACTGATAGGCTGGGATGTTAATGAAATCAGTTAATTTATTAAGAAGCTGTCCATATGCTACATGTTTCTCATAACAATACCCATGTCCCCATAAAGGACACAGTTTTGAAAACAGATCATATACAGTAATAGGCACCATTCTCCCTACTCCATCCCACCCATAAGAAAATCCCTGCGTATAATAGGATAACTCTGAAAAGGATAACAATAATTTTAAAATAAACTTTATTAATTTAGATAAGTATTTCAGTATATTTAACTATTGTAATTCTACGTAAAAACTTGTACATGACAAAACTAACAGCACTCAATCCACTGAGAAATACAGTCCAGTAAAGAATGTAGATGCATTTTCCTGTTAATAAATGCCTGATGATGGTTGTTAACAACTGAAACATGTAGCACATAAGCAACATCTTAATAAACTAACTCATTTTATTGACATTCAAGCCTATCAGTTATTCACTGGAAGTGTAGAACTGTTGTGAAAGACAGACACATTTACATAGCATATGTTCATTAACATTATAAATACATATATGTGGGAATAGGAATTAAAAGGCTAGATAATCAGTTGGTGCAGTCAAAATGAACTCAGACATGTGTAGGTTAAAATAATAATGAATGACTATCCACAACTCAAAATGGGGCTTCTGGTTCTGACACCTAATAATACTCCTCTGATGATCCACACTCAATATAGTAGAGAAAGCAGCTGGCTCAACTCTCCACTAAACAGTTCCTTACAATTCAAACATTCATTGTGGTTGCTATAATAGGATGATAATGCAATTCTCAAATGCTAGGTGTGCTTGTGGATGAAATTATCAGCAAATAAACACAATTAATTTGAGGTGCATTCTCTTACATTATCAGACAGTTATTCACACACTATCCTGATTTGCTGTTACAAGGTTCATATTATCAAGAGTAACAATCACTAGCAATGCCTCTTTTGCACTCAATATTATGGTCTAACAGTTAACAAAAGCGTATCTTTTACAATGAAACAGCTAATTGTATTTCTCTGTCATCTCAAATACAATGTAATATATAGCACTAACATTTTGAAGTTCTATGTTCGAGCAATTAAAAAATTCATCCACAGCTATAAGTCATATCTGCTTATTACCATGAAACAAACTTCTGACTCTGCTTAATAATGTAACACACCTTACAGCACAATAACATTTATTAAGATAAAACTCAAAGGCCAAATAATGTAGCTGTCAGAATGACTTTAAAATATTATATTTAAGCATCCTGTTACACTCACACACTATATATGAGACTTAAGAGGGAGTTTGTCTCATATATATTGACTTTAAAATATTTATTCTAAATATCCTGAGTGGGGAAAAGAAAAAACTCTATTATGTCAATTTAAAAAAAAACTGAGATTTCTACATATTTTTTGTTGTTCCAATCTGCACTTTTAACACAACCACTACAGAAAAATGGCAAGTACAATATTCGCTCTCATAAGCGGGCATGCTATCGAAATCAGGCTCCACATGAATTATTATAGTATGCAACAAACTGAAACTTAAGAATATAATTTTTTATTCAAATCTATCAAAGCAACCGGTTTGTATCCTAAGACTGCTGACGAACATAACTTACTAACAAACGTTAATCATAACTTTGTCCGTTACTGCTAAATCTCATAATCGTTTACCTGTCCAGTTTGACCTGTGGCCATCGTATTAAGGGTAATTATGCTGATCCCTTTTTATGCATTTTCTAACGGTGAATAACGGAGAAGACATTTTATTGTTATCAAATTTCGTCAGGCTTTCATGTACCCCTCATTATTGGTGCATCGCCACCAGTCAGAACACGCACTTATTACCTCCACACATAAACCCCACATATCATGTGCGAAATATTCAATTCACTGATAACACAAAAAAAATATCATGACACGCATTACAGTGAAAATAGACAGACAAGATGACGATACAGCACAATATAATCACAGATGAGCTACATGTGAGTTCGGCCGTTACGACCGATACGACTCCACCTGGTTAGAACCGAGCCAGTACCGTGACGACAGGTGACAACCGTGGCTTACCGATCGTGTATATGGGCTGGGGCACACAAAGGAAATTGGCAACAGCAACGCAACCGCAATTTCCGAGAATTCAATTTCCTCTATTTAACACTGCTCCATTTAGTAACCTGTGTGCAACTCGAGCTGATATCAGTTCTCGGAAATTGCGGTTGCGTTGCGGTTGCCAGTCTCCTAAAATTGCCTTCGCCCTTAATTTCCGAAGGGCTTTCGTATCAAGGAATCTCAGGAAATAGACCGGAATAGACAGTCTATTGGTCTATTGGAAGGAACCCAGCATACCGAACCCTGGTATTTACAGAGGACTTTGAAAGTACAGCAGTCACCACATTTAAATGATGTTTGTGCATGAAAAGGATATTTATCAAACCCTCTTGAAAGAAGAAATGAGATTTAGGCAGTACGTTCCTCCGAAATGTACGGCGTCACATCTCCTCAGTGATTTAGTTCTTCCTTTACAATCGTTATGTGATAAATTTTTCATTCTAAATTGTATATGTACAGAGCTTGCAACGGAAGTTTTTGTTTGGAAACAATTACCGTTCGACTGACACATTTTGTCGTGGAAACCATCCATAGCGCGAATCATCGCAGATATCTAAGTTTGTTTGCACTCCTATTCCATCGAATCAAAGAATAGCTTCCTTCCGGTGATATCGTCGAGTTCCTAGTCCTGTCGACGTTTGTGTTGTGCATGTGCAGAGTGAAACTATCAAAATGCCGAGTCAGGAAGTTGTCACCAACAAAGTTGTCGTTCATCCGCTTGTATTATTAAGTGTGGTTGACCATTTTAACCGTATGGGAAAAATTGGGAACCAGAAAAGAGTAGTTGGAGTTCTGTTGGGGTGTTGGCGAGCGAAAGGTGTTTTGGACGTGTCGAACAGTTTTGCAGGTTAGGAATTTTAAATCCAAATGAAGTTTCTTGAATAATAATTTCGTCGCCTTTCTCCCTAGCCCATGCTTACGCAGTTATATGTAGTTTCTTAAAAGACGTTCTAATTTATTTTCATTAATCACGCTCTCTTCTGCCAAATGAATTTGTGTTTGCTAGTGAAGTTAAAGATATTTAGGTTAACTGTCGTGATAGGCATGCTGCAGACCGTAGTGACATAGACTAAAATATTGTGATGTAAACCATAGCGCTTGTAAACACTGCACTTTCCAGTTGATATGTTTGTTTTATTATTTTTATGTCTCATATCTTAGTTGCAAAATGTATGAAGGCTACAACTGATACTAAGAAGTGGGTTGGAGGTAATCATAGGCGGTTAATAATATTAAATGTAAAGAAGAAATGCTGTTATGTTGAATCTTGTATACATAATCATCTTGACGTGTCTCAGGTCTCTTTGAACTCATGATAATCCAATAAGCCGATCACTTCCTATTTCATTGTACAATATCATTGGATTCCATATGTTTGCACATATGTTATTTTTGTATAGTCCCCTTCAGACCGTATGAATAAGACGTTTTCAGTATTTGAACATGTTCAGATATGTGCACTTCGTAATTAAGTTTGTGATATAATGCTGTATAGTCTCCTGCTGACAGCATCAAAAAAAAAACCACCACCCCAAAGTTCATTATGCCAAGAAACTTCATTAAACTAATATAAAGTCAATGTGCTCTTATTTCAAGTTCCGTTTGATGAAGATGATAAGGACAAGTCAGTGTGGTTTCTTGATCATGACTACCTTGAAAATATGTATGGCATGTTTAAAAAAGTCAATGGTAAGTACATATGTGACATATCATATTATGAACACTTAGTGTAAACAGGACAGCAGCAGTAGAGAGGTTAATCACCAACTAGACTTCATGTCTGACATACATGATATGCTTGTTCTTTTGAGAATTTGGCAAATAGATTTGTAAGCCAGTTAGTCTTGTGGTGTCTGTAGATGCCTACAATTGATTGGCTGTTTATCAGTAATTCTGCATATGGTTATCTCATTTTCCAGCAAGAGAAAAGATTGTTGGCTGGTACCATACTGGACCCAAACTTCATCAGAATGATGTTGCAATCAATGAGCTGATAAGAAGATATTGTCCAAATTCTGTGCTTGTCATCATCGATGCAAAGCCGAAAGATCTGGGCCTTCCTACTGAAGCTTACAGAGCAGTTGAAGAAGTCCATGATGTAAGTGCTATGTGAATTGAAAATATTTTATTTTGTGAGAAATAGGGCATACTTCAACCTGTTGTCTGTCTTAGGATGGTTCTCCAACTTCAAAAACGTTTGAACATGTTCCAAGTGAGATTGGTGCTGAGGAGGCAGAGGAGGTTGGTGTTGAGCATCTGTTACGGGACATCAAAGATACAACTGTTGGGACATTGTCACAGAGGATAACAAATCAGCTGTTGGGTCTGAAGGGGCTTCATTCACAAATACGAGATATCAGGAACTACCTAGTCCAGGTCTGTTTTCTATTGTTTGACTGTTTTTTTTTTGTATTGTACAATTTGGGGAACTTGTGAAAGTACAGGGAAGGAAAGGGAAAGGTGACTTTAGACAGTCTGCATCTGAATTAAGCTTTATTCTAAAACCAGCATCTGAATTAAGCTTTATTCTAAAACCAAGAAAAGAATAATAATGAATTCTATGCTGTATATTCCTTGGTTCTGTTATTTATATGAGATCCAATAAAACTGACTTTGCAGTTGAGTTAATTTTGTTGTGAGTGGTAAATTTGAGGGTGTTTGAGAACAGGCTGTTGAGGAGAATATTTGGACCGAAGAGAGATGAAGTGATAGGAGGTTGGAGAAAACTGCATAATGAGGAGCATCATAACTTGTACTCTTCTCCAAGTATAATTAAAATGATCAAGTCAAGGAGGTTGAGATGGGCAGGGTATGTAGCACGAATGGGGGAGAATAGGAATGCATATATTGGTGGGAAAGCCAGAAGGAAAGAGATCACTGATAAGACCAAGGCATAGGTGGATGGACAATATTAAAATGGATCTTGGAGAGATAGGATAGGATGGTATGGATTGGATTGATCTGGCTCAGAGTATGGACCATTCCAAAGAAAGCCATTCCTTATTAGAAGAAATAAAAATTCAACACTGAATGGGGTTATATAGAAGAAATAGTAAAATTTAGAGGCTTCTTATAATAAAAGATTATGTTACTGAAGCATATTTTGGCTATAATAGTGTTGCTATTCGGGAACAATTTATGGGCATTGTGTCACTAATGAAGGAAATGTCGAGAAAGAATAACTCAGTAATTTTTCTACGCATTGAATTAATGATGCAATTTTATGCTCAGGAAATAATATCGGTCATATCAGTGAAGTTCTTAAACAGACAAAATAACTGCAGGCTGCATTATATAGGCTTTCGGTGAACATACATTTCTGATCAGTTCTCTCTGAATGGGACCTGCTGTCAAGATGGCATCAGCATACAAATACACCACAAATAACCATATTATGTTGTTGCTTGAATAAGTGTCTAATTAACTGGAGGCATATACAAATAGAACTTACTGAAATATCATGTTATTCATTGAGATATGAATTCAGGCAGTTGTGTAGGTATATTGGCATTGTATTATCTACATAGACCTGTGGAGTGTCCACTTGGGTTATCCTTCTGGTTTCAGATTAGAGCTGTCAACACAAATTTATTCAAGTGATCTATGTGGCCATCCACATATGTGTTTTGAGAAGGAAAGATACAGTCCAAATCGTCTTATACTAACACACATTCCATAATAATAATTACCAACTACACATATCCATATTAGCTTGTTACCAATACTCACAGAATAGACATATTAATATTTGGCAATCTGTTGCTGTGACCACCCAAAATTGGGTAATTTCAGAGCTTTCACTCACCATTACAGAACTTTTAGGATATGTTTAATGCATTTACATTACAGTTTAAAAATATTTGTTTTATGGAATCTGTATTTACCTGAAGTTAAAATTATTTTATATTTTAAATTGTTTTTTTCAGGTTGTCCAGGGAAAACTCCCAATCAACCATCAGATAGTTTACCAGCTGCAAGACATCTTTAACCTTCTTCCTGACATCAGCCATGGCAATTTTGTTAATTCACTGTATATAAAGACAAATGACCAGATGCTTGTTGTATACCTAGCAGCCCTCATACGCTCAATCATTGCTCTCCACAACCTCATTAACAACAAGCTAACAAACAGAGATGCAGAGAAGAAGGAAGGTAAGAAGGATGATATAAAGGATAGTAAAGAGAAGAAAGAAGAGAAGACTAAAGAAGAAATAAAAGTAGAGAAGAAATAGCAGGGTATATTTTTGTTCTGGCCTTCTGCTTTCCTTTTTTCACATAAGCCCATAACTTCAGAGGAACAGTGACTGTTAAGATTTCAACTAAACACTTTTATTGTAAACTAAACATCTCACATTAAAATTAAATCTTTATTCAGAATTTTTATTTTACCTGTGACATGTCAGGAATAAATTAGTGCTTACTGAAATGGCACAAACAGAAGAACTGAGTGTTTAAATACTCAAAGACTGGTTTATCTTGAAATTTGTTCTGTTTATTTTTATTGAAGGCAGAGTTTGTTTCCTCTAGCTTGTGGATTGTCATTTTCATTGTACTGTACTAATCTTCATTAAATTTTTTTAACAAAAACATGCAATTTAATGGTCCTTTTCTTAAAACAGATTTTTTCATGAACTCACTTGGCACTCTGAAAGGCCTACATGTGAGGCAGTGTTTTTACTTTGATTCATATAATCATATAAATCATGCAACTTTTCACATCTTATTTTGCACTAAAAATCAAGTGTTCATCGTGAAAGAAGTATGAGCATTTTCATGTCACATTACATGAAGTAACAATAAGTACAGTTAATTGCATAGGATGACAGAGAATGTAGTCACAACCACCCAAAAACTCACCTGAATGAAGGAACTCACAATAGTATATATAGTAAATATATTTTGGTCATGATAACATGTTCCAAAGGACCAAGAAATTCATACTGCAACTTCTCTCAGTGCTGAACCTTAGTTCTGTTCAAATTCAGAATGGCCTTTGAAACAGGCAACAAGAACATTACTTCTCCATTATGCATTCACTTTGCTAACTGAGATTCTAATGCATAAAAGTTAGTATCACCTGAAAATGCCTCATATATGATGCACAAAGATGTGAATCTTGCAGGCCTAAAAGTTAATTTAGCCCCATGCTTTCACTCAGTTTTTTTTAACCCCAACAACAAAGGTGAGTGCCCCTGGCCAGTGGAGGACTGAGTTTTGTGGATATGTCCCAAGTGGCAACTGCAGGAAGTGCAGAGGCAACAGAAGACATACGATGAATGAAAACTGTTTCATACTGCCATAATGTTTGTAGAAGCATCTCTGGTTTTATTCAACAGCCTGGACCTCACATAGATGAGCTCTGAAGTCCTTTTGACAGTCGTTTGTTAAATTGTTGATCTATTCCGATTTAGTGTTCATTGTAATGACACTATTTTCAGATTTCTAGTCACTAGCTTCTGTTCATATATTCAGTTGTGTGTTCAGTTGCTTCCTCATTTAACCCATCTCTATGCTAGTATTGTTGTTGAGTTGCCTTCTGACAAGTAACAAGCATTTATATAGTTTTTATATGTTACTTCGCCCAGATTTTTCCATGTCCTTTCTTTAAAAGCAATTAAGAGAAACGGCACAATTTATTACTAGAAAACTCAGTATCAGTTCTGTAGGATTTAAATCACAGTGTCAAAAGTCACAACACAGTAAAATCTTTGTTCTGCAAACTTCTGTCCACAGTATAAATGGACTGTAGTTTGTACTCTCACAGTTTGCATGAGTCATGATTTGTTATTTCAAGATCAATGGTGGTTTTATTGTTTTGGAGCCACATTTTATCAGTCTTCCATTTTGCTTTCTTACTATGTGATATGGTGCATTATCAGTTACCACTATAATACCAAGTGACACTGAAAATAATTTTTTCTCTCAGCAACTTATGGCTAACAGCCTTCTTATGGTAGTTCTGATTTTGACTTTGAATCATATATAAATTCTGTCCCACCATCTGTGACCCTCTGTCTTGCCATTAAATCTGGAATTGTATCATACTGCTAACACTTTCACTATGTAATAGGCGTGAACCCATGTCTCGTCCATATATACAGCTGGCTTCTTACTCTAATAGCTCATTCAAATTTTCAGGTATGTCACACAGTCAAAAGAAACCTTTTGTTTCTACATTCCTTTCAATATTTTCCTCCCTGAAAACCAATTTACTTCTGCTACTTATATGGTTCATATTTTGGCCATGGATAATCATACCTTGGTTGACTTACACATCGTACTACATTTGCCATGCTACATCCAAACAAATAATATACATTGCATGGGCAGAAAATTACCTACAAAGAACTATGGAAGAAGGAAGACTTCTATGCCCATCAACTGAAAAGGGACAGATTACAAAATTAGGCATTTATGCTTCACTTCCAAAACATGAAATTTACTTAACCCATTGGTATATACAGAATAATGTTGCTGAAGAGAACAATAGTTTTTTTTTTAAGCGAGATGACACAATTGAGAACACCTTCATAATGCTACTTGGATTTGTCTAGTTTCTTCACACAAATATTTGAGCAAAACACAATGACACATGGTTATAAGCAGCATATTTTACTTGGTGATTGGAAAAAATATCACATTTTTTTTCAGTATGTCATACATTATTATGAAATGCAAGGCAGTCTGCACTTGTTGGTTTGCCTAGACAGGTACTGTAACTATTATTCCTAAAAACTTTTCTACAGGATTCAATTTGTATGATAATCCATAAATTACTAAGACAAATTCTTTTTTCAATTCAGATGTTAAAAATAAATGTTATGGTACTCGTTCCAATCATAGTGAATCATATTTTGTTCTGGAAGGACCGTAAGTTTTGCATGTTCTCCATGATAAATATAATATTGCATACAGAAACATAAAGTGTATGTTACAAAATATCCACTAACCAAGATGTTTTATAACATATATTCATTGTTTCTACAAGCAAAAAATGTAACTTCACTGTTGTTCCTTATAAAAGATATGTTTATAATATTCCATCATGCCAGTGAACATCTACTGATAACTGATAACATGATATTCAGTTTGCCAGGAACTATACTTCAGTAATCAGTTTTTCTGTACTGCTTCATAATACCAACCTCTTTCTAATTTATATTTGCTACCATTCCACATAAAATGGATTGGATTTTTATGTTCATCATCAAACTCAAAACACTTACTGAAATCGATGGCCAACTTGGATCTTACCAGCCCCACACCACCCACATTTTCAGGTGCAGGATGATAAACCCGCCCAGATTCTGGCAGCATAAATATCTTTTCTGGTTCAAACTTTACCCTCAGCAAATCTCCCGCATGTCCATAGCTCAGCTGATCTTCTGTCTGTCCATTTACAGTACCTCTGATCACATGAGTGAAAACAACAGGGAAATCATCACAACGTATAAAATTACGTTCACGTCCACACACCGAGAGGTAAGGAAATTCTTCCATGTATCGTCCTGTGGTATTCAGCCTCAACCTTCTGAAGAAGAATTCCAGAAACTTTTTATCTATTGAGAAAGTAAAGTTATGTAATTAATTAGTCTGTGTATTAAATTAATATTCTAGAAACTCAAATTTAAATGTTAAAATATGTGTGTTCCAAGTAATATGAATGTTCAGTTGTCAATGTTAAGCACAAAAGATCTGGTTGGTAAGTGACTTTACATTTAGTCTTACAATCAGAAATTTCTGACATAACTTATCTTCTAGTAAATGCCTGCAGCCAGAAATTCTGATATGTTGCACAGATGGCTCTTACAACTAAACATTAAAAGAGAACCCACTTAATATTCATGTTCCAAACTATATTAAAAAAGCAAAATACCGTTTCTTGGGTCTTGTAATCAAATGCAGGAATACAGTCAAGGATGGGAGGGGGGAAGACTAGACACCTACCCCACCTCCAAGATTAAAAAAAATCAAAATTAAAATGGGGAAAAAGGAAACATACCAAATAATAATAATATCTGAAGTTGTTTCATTTAATACAAATAACCTGAAATGGCTTAAATGTAAGTCTATGCAAATTCTCTAGCACTGATAAGAAAATTGCTTTACACGAAAATCAGTTACCTTTGAAACATGATGTGAAATTTTTTATCCGAGCATCATCAAGGAATAACTGAAAGATAAGAATAAGATTAGTTTAAGTACTTTACTGATGTTACAAGTGTTCAACATCAAAAAGTTAGATATTTCTTTCAAATAGTAAACATCTTAGCAGGGTACAGACATCCACAGCAGCAAATGCAAATTTATAGTATAGTATTTCAGACTAAAGATGAAGCAATCATTTTACCAGTCTTTTGTGTGCTTTCAAAAAATGGTTTCATACTTTGTAGGAACATCACAAGTTGTGAATTTTTGAACTAAAATACTCAGTGGGCGAGACTCCACAAGGAATGGAAGATAATACTGGTAAGAATCTTAAGGTAAAAAGACTGTGCGGATGTGATGTGGATGCAAGAGACACACGAAGCTGTAACAACTAAGATACAACAAAAGTCCCATTTATAGTTTCTTTCATGAACAATGGACCTGAACATTAAACCAAGGAAAATCTTAAATGGAAGAAATTTACACTGACATTACTGATGTGGGGCCATGGAAATTTGATGTTACAAGTGTTCAACATCAAAAAGTTAGATATTTCTTTCAAATAGTAAACATCTTAGCAGGGTACAGACATCCACAGCAGCAAATGCAAATTTATAGTATAGTATTTCAGACTAAAGATGAAGCAATCATTTTACCAGTCTTTTGTGTGCTTTCAAAAAATGGTTTCATACTTTGTAGGAACATCACAAGTTGTGAATTTTTGAACTAAAATACTCAGTGGGCGAGACTCCACAAGGAATGGAAGATAATACTGGTAAGAATCTTAAGGTAAAAAGACTGTGCGGATGTGATGTGGATGCAAGAGACACACGAAGCTGTAACAACTAAGATACAACAAAAGTCCCATTTATAGTTTCTTTCATGAACAATGGACCTGAACATTAAACCAAGGAAAATCTTAAATGGAAGAAATTTACACTGACATTACTGATGTGGGGCCATGGAAATTGAATGTTACATCAGAAAAAGAACAAGATCTAAAAGTGCATGATGATGGTACATTAGTAGAAATACTGTGTTTCTGGACATTATCCAGCATCCTGTCTTGATCTAAAAACAGTCCTGTTTATTTTCAAAACAAAACGTTTAGGGATATGGACTAGCTCTATCGATTGGGCCCAATTGGATAGGTTTAACCTGAGGACAGGGACAGAATCCAGTCTCCAAAATATTTTTTGAAAAGTAAACAGGATGGTGTTTTTAGATCGAGACAGGACAATGGATAATGTCCAGATACATAATATTTCCAGAAAAATAACCTTGAATTAAGGACCAATAAATGGGGGTGCCACTGTACATATACATGATTTCATGTAAAAAAATGTAGCACCCCTTGAGAGAATTCGCTGGAAGGTCTCTTTAATTGTCACACGAGCCTTCATGCTATTACTGTCCCTGCTTTCTCCCATATTCCTTTCCAGTCCTACATGTTGCTGAACAGTACTCCGTGGCTGATGCCTAACACCATATCCCACAAATAGCACTACACAAACAGTCAATCATAAACCACTTCATGGTTCATAAAACTCACTACTTAATGTGAATTAACATATTCTTTGCTTGAACACCCATATTAATGAGCAATGATCAGGTCACGCCCAACACAAGACTGACGTATCAGGCCATTGGCTTGATGTGTACCTTTGATTTCCTCTCTTCTTTCATGTGTCACAGAGTTAATATGACTTAAACACACTCATGATATGTTGATTTTTCTCTACAGCAATTATATGCTTCTGATGCAAGGCTTCTGAAGGTGTTTCAAAATTACCGGTTTCTTTAACAACCCTGCATCAACTATAAGGACAGAGTAAAGAATGAACAAACTGACTGAATGAGTGGTGTGGAAAGAAGATAACCCTGTGTAACCCCTCTCCCAGAATAACCTAGTCAATAATAAATTCTACAATGAAGTCGTCTCTAACCTGCACCTATTTTTGCAATATGAAGGACTTCACTTTACTGTAGTAATCTCAATAGTAACAATACACATATATTAGACTTCTATGTCATTCTGAAGACTTCAAGCTATCTCTTTATTAAATAATACATTAACCTAGCTGAGATTAGCTTTCATTGAAGTTCTACATTTTCCCAAAGTATCCTCATCCTTTCTTATAAGCAAGTGTGGTTAGTTAGGCTTTGGCTGCATACGAAGGGATCATAAATGACCTCTGATGCCACACTTTTCCACAGTTCTAAAACATTTACATGCACAGTATTATCTTTCATAATATATGACCCTCTGATGACAGTACATGGTGGACAGTAAACTGCAATCTCAGTACTGTATCGAAGTCCCTACAATGGCAGTAAATTGCGACCTCAGAATGTGTCTGGAGACTAGCAGTGAGAACCCTGTCCTCTAAAACTCTACCCAAACATGTCCTTTACAGTTCTGGTTCATACAAAATGTCTTCTAAAGACGACTTCACCTACCATTCCCTGATGATCGATGTAATAGAAATATTCTCTTACTGAAGATTCTGAAGATTGGCCCTGTTTATATAAGCTTACATATTTACAACTGTAAATCTGCGGGAGACGTCTGATTGGACTGTCAATTACTTTTCGTAACATGATGATTTTTCAAAATTAAATAATTTCTACATATTATTGGCATTAATTGAAGTCGTCGGTTCAACATCCTGGTTATTTCATTTTTCATTTCTTCATTAATTTCACCATCACGTAATAAGATTTCACTTCCCACAATACGAATTTATATGAATTCAAAACCCTCCCATAATACAAACAACGGTATTCCTACGATTCCTACGTTCTGACCCCTTCCTCTCGAGCTCTCGTGTGATGTGCACCACGGATTACTTAACTGCTGGGAACAACTTAACAAGCTAATACGTCACCCAGTATCGCTCTCGAACGCTCTCGAAGCTCTCGAAACTCCGTGCCTTGCATGGAACCCTAAAGTTAATTAGCACGTTCAAAAGAGCGCGCCACCAAACATTGTACTGAGCCAGATGATTCCAGTCCAAAACCTCCCACATTATATCTATAAGAACAAATTTAATATTATCTCCCACTACAAAGCTCAAGCGGTTAGTCGCTGGCTTCCCACCGCGGCGTCCCGGGTTCGATCCCGAGTCTGTTCAAGAGGGATTTGTGGTGGACAAAGTGGCGCTGGGGCGGGTTTTCTCCGGGTACTTCGGTTTCCCCTGCCAATCTTCATTCCACCAAATTCTCGATCATCATAATCACCCGGGGCAGGCTACAATAGGCCAATCAGTGGCCGCCGTGTCGAGTGGACCCAGTTGGACTCCACCCCCCACTAAGCGAATTTAAAAAAAGATCTCCACCTACATGCTTATGTCTTGAAAGAAGTCTAGATTTTCCGATCAAACTTTTGTATTTCTGATCTCTCTCATATGTGGAAGGCTGTCGTGACAACACACGCAAGCCAAGTGGTCTTCTGGGGTGTCTCATTTTTTTAAACTTTTTCGACTTCTAAGCCAATAAAAATTGGTTCTTTCTGTTGTTATGTTCATGTCATGACCACACTTGACATTACTTGAAACATCTTATGCAACAATGTAAATAAAATTGTTTTAAGTGCCAGCGACTGTTTTCTTCAATGTCTAGAAATTTAATTCCATTAATTGTAACGAAGTTTTAGAAACTTTATCTTCCTAGGGAGGCATTTAGGCTTGTGCCGGCCCTTCGTATATGCTACTGTCTTCGCCCATCTCATTCTTCTTTCTTTTGAAGTAGGTTATTTAATCACGCTCTCAGGGTCGAGACTACGAGTTTCATAGCTTCGACTCATCCATCTTTCATGAGTTGATTACCTTAATAATACTATTTTGCGAAGGCTAGGTCTACAAATTATTAAACTCAATATGAAATTCACTCCAATTTCATGCCACTCTCTCACCCTCTTACTTGTTGGTTCCAAGTATTAAACTCAGCGCCACGTTCTTAACTATCCTCCAAGCACTTCTTGGTGACATCATCCAACCATCTCTCTCTCGACCTGCCATGTTTCCTCCTGCCCCCAGGATGCTGATTAAGAATCTTCTTGGGAACTATGTCCTTCATCCCCGACACATGACCCAGACATTGCAGCCTCGCTACAAGTTCAAGCACCGAAGTGAACGGAGACATTCATGGAGGTAGGCCTAGGCCCACTGGGCCTGTAGTGCCAAGGGGGGGAGAAAAAAAAACAAGTTCAAGCTCCCCATAGAATTTATAGACTTCGTCATTCGTCCTGATGTTTTATGCCCCTTGTTCACAGACTGCGTCAAAGATCTTGCGAAGGACCTTCCTCTCCCACACTCGAAGCCGGTTTTTGTCACTCTCTGTGAGAGTCCACGTTTCGTATCCATATAGCATCACTGGACAAGTAATGACACGGTACACTTTGAGCTTTAGTTTTCTNGCCACAGCGCCACTTTGTCCACCACAAATCCCACTTAATCAGACCCGGGATCGAGCCCGGGCCGCCGCTATGGGAAGCCAACGACCAACCGCTTGAGCTATGGCGCGGCCATTCGTGCTCTTATCTCTGCACAGACCTAGTAATCCAAGAATATAACAAGCCTCAATGATGCTGGATGAATTCAATAACACACTGACAGAACTAAGTGAAGCTATGACTGAAGAATTCTTCATTTAAGCTAAACAAAATTAAAAAAAAATGGAAATTCCCTTTCCGCAAGAGGAAGCACTGTGAGAAAAACGTGCCATCATGAGAAGGCGGGTTGTTTTGCTGCAGCAGATTATTTTAGAATAAAGCTACATATATTTTTGATGTTCCAATGTCTAACACAACTCGGAGAAATCAAGTTTTGCTAGAAGCTAAGTTTCGTTTTGAATTTTCTTCTGGTTCTGCTTTCATTCATATGGAATCGACTGAAATTTAAGAGTGGCACCAAATGTAACAATGAAATACAGCAAAGGGTCAGGATGCTTCTGGATTTTACTCGTATTTAGAATTTGAGAGCTTCAAATACGAAGCGCAAGAGTTACTGGCTCGTGTGGAACCAGTGTCTATTCTCACTCTTTGCGAGCTGATAAAGGAATATGCCAATTTTCTAAAAACGGAAATTGCATTACGATTCTTTTTAATTTTTCTAATGATGTTGCATCACGAGAAAGAAGTCTGAGCAAACTGAAAGTACTTAAGAATCATTTTAGACCATCTATGGCCTAGGATCGACTATCAGATTTAAGCATTCCTTCTAAAAGTAAAGTTATCCCTGCAACAGGCCGTGGTCACCCATAGAGTTGTGAGAAGTTGAGGCTCCCACATCTAGACAATCGGCTCACAGATGGCAGTAAGGTTATCAGCCTTATGCGGAGGCCGCCCTTTACAGGAAGATTCCTGTTACTCATTTCTCTTACAAGCCAGGGCCTGACCCCGAGGCCATGGTGCTGCTGGAAGGATTAGGTCAATTGAAAAAAATCTACCTCATCGAGACTCGAACCCGCAATTTTCCGGCTTGTAACATAGTGTGTCAACCAACTACGCTACAGCGTATCCTCAATATGCCTCCTACCCAGTATTATAATCCAGACAACATTAATTATGATGACGTCAATGAATTTGCAGCTATTAAAGCAAGAGGAGTTTTTTTGATCAATTATACATTCATACATATACAAACATATATAGTGTTTACGTTTCTTGCTATGCAGATACTTTTGAAATGAGCCATTGATCTAAGAAGTAAAATTATATATATAATTTTAATAAGGATGGGTGCGAAATCTTGTTCCTTATATAACGACAGTGCTAGTATTAAGACCCTGTAGCATAGATGATAGTGCGATTAGCGAATACGCAGCTGTTAGTGGAATAAGAATTTTAGGAGGAAACCAAAGTATTCGGAAAATATCTGCACAGTGCCACTTTGTTCCCCACATATTTCACATGATATGACTTTGCATCGAACCCGGGTCACCATGACGGGAAGGCGAAGTCTAACCGACTCAGCCACTGCACCACCAAATCTTGCATGATATGGGCTCACAAATGCCTTATTTCGACTCCGAATGTAACTCTTATCTCGCACGAAATTCAAATGGAATTTTACAGAAAGGTTCATTGTACAGAACCTGAATGCAAGATATAACACCGACCATACGGAGAATGCTTTTTGGGACATGCTGCACGTTTAACAAATGACAACGATATCTAACGCATTTACCTCTATGAGGAGTTTAATGGATTTGTCTTTGCAGTAAATGAACATTAACGTCAGTTAAGGAATGTAAAATCGCAAAGAACAAATGTGGAAACTTTCAGCGTTCCTCAACACATCTTTCCGTCTTTGTTTTGTTTCTAAATGTGCCAAAATTATAATGGAACGCTTCTTTGCAGCCAGCATTAACTGGACTGGATCTTTCCCGATCTTGACTAATCGGTTTACATTCTTTCCACGGTACAAATCAGTGGGCTCTGTGAACAATGTCCTAGCCGCCCGAAATTTAATCCAACAATTACAGACACTAACTGGCAATCATCATCATCATCA